AAATTTTTTTGTGGAAGGTGTTGCTCATTTTCTCCATACAAAAAAAAAATTGTAAACATAGTACTTTGGATGGAAAAAAATGCGCGAACAAAAAATTGCCAAAAAAAGAGGCTACTGCTTCAAAATTTGCCTTTATTGTACTAAAATTTAATGGGCTACAAAACTGCATACTCAAGACAATTCTAGAAAATCTAATTAAAATGTTCAAAATTTTGATGAACATTTGCTAAATTTTTTTTAGGTAGTAAGTTATATTTTCATAATGTATAGGTTTGCACTAAAAACCCAAAAGAAACACGAATTCGAAGTATATGTATGTGGTTTATTTGAGTGCTCGCAAGGCGAACGTATGTACCAGTCACGTCAAAAGATTTACAATAATGAAATACTTATGCCCATATCAAAGTTGAGCTTAACAAGGAAAATAGTGTGTAAGCAAAGAAAAGCAAGATAGGTAGTAGTTCTTGTATACTGTGCAATGGCATGATCGAAGTAACGGTTGGGCGGCGTGACATATGTATGCTGACTGCAGCAGGTCACCTGATGCTGGTGATGCCGGATTGTGTGGCTTCAAAACACACCATATTTAAATGCTTATTTTCGATATTTAACCAGAGACCCAGAATAATAATTAGTTCATGGTGGAGTTTTAAAAAAGTCATCCAAATTTTCGTAAGAATCATAAAGGTCTTTTGATAATAATTATGTGTGGGAAAATTTTTTTAAGTCATCATAACTATTATTTTAAGCCTTTTATAATAGAAGTCTTTTCTTAATAATTATCAGCGAGATAAATATTTTTAAGTCTTCAAAGACTTTTATTTTGAGACTTACATTATAAAAGTCTTGTCATAATAATTATCATTGAGATAAATATTTTTCAGTCTTCACAGACTTTTATTTTGAGACTTATATTATAAGTCTTTTGATAATAATTATGAGTGCGAAAAAATTATGTATATAGTCCCGAACGGGTCCCAAACTACTCCCTAAATAGTCCCGAAGTGGTCCCCACCTAGCCCCGAACTGGTCCCCAACTAAATGCTCCTGAACAAGTCCCGTCTTTTAAGACTTAAACAATCGACCTCATAGTTATTATGAAAAGACTTCTATAATATAAGTCTTAAAATAAAAGTCTTTGAAGACTTAAAAATATTTACCTCTCTGATAATTATTATGAAAGGATTTTTATAATATAAGTCCTTGAATAATAATTATAGATGGCTCGGAAAATCAGGGATGTGAACCGGTTTTAAACCGGAAAACCGCTTTTTTCTATTAATTAACAGAACTATTAACCGAACCGAAATTTTCCACAAAAGTTTGATCCGAACCGAAAA